TATATATATATATATATATATATATATCAAATAATGAAAAATTAAACGAAATAAATGGGGTTTTAATTAAAATACTTAGAGTTTCACTGTTTTTGATATTGAGTTTTGATTATTATCCCCCCCTCGATTTCACTTCCCTTCTTTGGATCACTAGTCATTGAACGTTTAAATAAATAATAATAAAAAAATTAAATGGGGAGTGTCTTTAAAGTGGGGAGTGTCTTTAAACCAATATATTTTTCTGATGTTGGAATTTTCTATTCTTTACTTTTTGTAATTATAGTAAACYGAAAAGCATTACTTTATTCTGATTGGTCTAGAGATATATGATTATTTATATTCCTTTGGAGTAAAAATTAAGCTGCTATGACAACCAGACCAAAAAAAGTTTCAATTTTATYCTACAATACATATCAGTTTTTTTATGATATTAAAACCCTAACAACTGATCTTTTTCATGTGTGTTTCAATGAAGAAAATTTGGCAGTGATAAACACGAATTCCTTTGCCTCTACTGAAAAGAATTATAACATAGGCAAGATATAACGCGTGCTCTGATTGGCTAATTTGCTATGTGAAAAAAGTGGATATCCCATAGAGATATCCCATAGAAAATGTTTTTACGGTGAAGCGGCGAAAAATTCACCGTTGATTCGCTAGCTGTAGAAAATAGCAAAGTGTTTCGTGACTTAAAACTAGAAATATGGCTTCTTTTCCATCTAACAAAGATTATGAGCTTCCTAATTTTGATTTTGAGTTTGATCAAAACATTGAACCCCCACTTAATAAACAACAAAAACCAGAAACAAATTCACAAAGATTTGCTAACTTCAACGAAAACGAGTTGCAAGATATCCTCGCTGATAAGCAGTCTGCCAAGACCAAAAAAACGACAAACTGGTGTGTTTCCACGTTTAAAGGTAAGAAAATTTTATTAATAGCTTTTATGAGATAAAATGGCATGACCTTTTGACCTAGTTAAAAATATAGAAACTAGTTTTCATGAAAAATATTTTTCGCGAAAATGTCAACACAGACAATAAACACTAACGTGGCTTTCGTAAGTTGTGTTGTAGACAGCTATTACTCTCAACGAGGAAAATTATAAAATATTAAACAACAATGTTTTCGTATTTCTGCTTTATTTTTATTGCTAGCAAACTGTTTACATATTTTTAAAGCAGTGAATCAATCTATCGGCAAAAATCTCCTAATTCACTAAGTAATGAAACAAAGCATCGTGTTTTCAACCGGTTTTAAACAACTTGTTGAGTGCGGTTCGCACTGCAACTAAGAAAAACAAAAAATAATTGCTCGACAATAGGTAAGAAGTACAAATTAATTGTTCTTAACCTTTTTCAAACCTTTATTCTTTTAGCATGGTGCAAAGAGAAGCACATTCAGACACCTCTTGAGAAGATGACGCTTGGTCAACTGGATGCAAATCTCCGCAGGTTTTATCCCGAAGCACGAAAGACAACCGGCGAGATGTACAGCAAGAAAACACTCCTGGGCTTTCGACATGCCATTGAGAGATATATGAATCAGCYTCCTTTAAACCGTGGTTTGAAGCTCTCAACTGACCCAAGGTTTAACCGTTCAAATGAGATGCTTGATGCCCAGCTAGTTCAAATGAAGCGAAAAAATATGGAGGATACACAACATAAACCCGTCATAGAAAACCAAGATCTATTGAAGTTGAAAACTTCCAAGGCTCTCTCCCTTAATGATCCATGGAGTCTGTTAAGGAATGTCTGGTTCCATCTGATCTTGTTTTTCTGCCGGAGAGGAAGAGAAGGCCTGCGAGAGCTAAAGACATCAAGCTTGAAGTTTGAAGTTGATGCAAGCGGGCGACCCTACGCTACAATGGCGCACGACGAAGCCACCAAGAACCACCCGGGCGGCATATGATGCAAACGCCTCAGAGAAAAAATCTCGAATGTATGAAACTGACTACCCAAACGACGGCTATAAAGCTCTGCGCTTGTATTTKTCAAAGACCAATCCAAATTGCGAATCCCTCTTCCAGTATCCGAAGAGAAATTGGTCCCCAACAGACGACGTGTGGTAYGAAAACAGGCCCGTTGGCGTCAATAAGCTGGACGGAATGATGAAAGAGATAAGTAAAGAGGCCAAATTATCCCGCCCATACACTAACCATTCAGTCCGAGCCACATCAATCACAGTGATGTAAAATGCAGGCATTCCTAATCGCCATATAATGGCCATATCTGGGCATCGAAACGAGCAGAGTTTGGCACACTACAATACGAGGCCTTCGACCGAACAACTGCACCACTGTTCTGAAGTGCTGTCCCAAAGTCTCACTTCCTCAAGCCAAGCGATTGTCCCGGCTACTGTTCATCTGAACACAGCTGTTAAAAACAACAATGTGGTTGTAGAAGTTGCAAGACAAGATCCGGCGAGCCAGTTTGGCTCCATCTTTAGCAACTGCACAGTTCAAAACGTTCAACTGGTCATTCACGAGAAGTGATCGCTGATCTATCGCAACGGGTGTAGACCATGAACATAAGCTCTGTGATTCATCTTCTTTTAGACTCTCATTTCTCCGCGAAGGCTTTTAAATGACTTTTTTGATTATCGCGGTATTTTTCTTTTAGAATAGGAGCTGTAAAACAACTTTGAGCTTTCTTGATAGCCAACGGTAAATGTAAATTTCCTTAGTGTGCGCGCGCACATTTAAGAGAGTTTTGACATGTGATCATACGAATAAAACATTTTCAGAGAATTAAAGTCGTTATTATCTATGTTATAAAAGCAATGGTCCATAATTTGCGTGCATATATCCAGTTCTGGAAGCACGAGAGCAGCGTAAGAGATGCTCGAGGCGACGCCTCGAGCATCTCTTACGCTGCTCTCGTGCTTCCAGAACTGGATATATTGCACGCTATTTATGGACCATTCCTTAATAAACAAATAATTAATGGCTCGTGCAATTACAAGGACGTAATAACTTCGGATACATCACTCCTACTAGGTACCCATTAACTACTCCTTGTACTCGAGGTCATACAATTTCCATCCTACACTAAATCCTAGAGCTCTGTCTTGACGGCTAACGAACGTGCACAGTTTAAGCCTGATCAACACATCATACCCTTGCTATAATTATTAATCAATGATTTTAAAAATGATTCAAAATATGACCATTGCCTTATTATTAATTTAGATTCCTTTGATGCCACAAGTTTCAGTCCAAAGAGAGGTATGGACATAATTTAAATTAATTCTCCAAAGTAACTATACGTAAAGGCTGATCAACACATGATAATCTTGTTATATTTATTAATCATCAATGATTTTAAGAGTTATTCAAAATATTAACATATTGATATGTGGTGTGTTTGCTACATATGACCATATTGTATCATTATTAATTTAGATTCCTTTGATGCCACAAGTTTCAGTCCAAAGAGAGGTATGGACATAATTTAAATTAATTCTCCGAAGTAACTATCGAAGAAGTCTGATCAACACATCATGATCGAACGATTTAAAACAGAATATGACCATCGATTGCCTCATTATTAATTTAAATTCCTTTGCTTGTAGAAACATTTAGGATTCATGATCATATGAGTGTTCATTTTTTTTCCCCTTTTCTTTTCTTTTCTTTTCTTTTCTTTTCTTTTCTTTTCTTTTCCATTTCTTTTCTTTTCTCTTGATTTCTCTTAGTTTCTTTTCTTTTTTTTYCCCTCTAATTTTCTTTTGAGAATGAACAATGTGCTCTCAAGCGGTCGTTAAACTTTATTCATCTGAATTTAATGTCCATACGCCGATTTTTTATATCATTTTTATTTATTATTGTTATATGTATTATTCTATTAATTATTTCCCTTTATCTTTCTTTCATTTAAGATCATGATCATCATTATGCTGGCCTGCTGATAGCAGTGCTATTGTTACCGCTGATGTGGAGTTTTCTTGTTCTTATCTCTTTGAAAGTAAGCCTTTATTTTCTTTATCCGTGTTTCTTTCTTTCTTTCTTTTTTTWAATCTAAATTTCAATTTTACTGTTTAGCTGTTTAAGATTGTTGTTGAATTGTGCTGTGCAATGCTTACTTATAAAATACAAATAACCTAGGTGGTTTGAATTTTTTTCAGAAAAACCAAAAACGATAAATACTCTGCTTGTTATACAGTTACTTTGTAATTGTGAGTAATAGTTATGCTATTGGGAGCCCAATGCAGAAGAAAATGAAACGAAAGATTTAAAAGGGGGAAAACGCCTTTTTTTGCAAGTTTATTTACACCTTTCACCGTTTTTTTAAATTGGACTCCCTGTGCGAGTGGTTACGATTTTACTTTCCTTCCTAATAGGGCAGTGTTTGAATGACTTTGAGACGCTTGTAACATTTTACTAGTCTTAGGTAAGGAATTTTCGAAATTCGAATTAAGTGTAGAAGAATACGCTCACGTTTATTGAGATCAAGGCAAGACCACGCAAGGTTCGTGCCACGAGCTTTTCACAGTCATACAAAATCTGTTTTATTAATAAACGTATACACCTATTTCGTTAGGTAAAATAAGGTATGACGGTAATGGCACAAAGAGTCTTTATTCCTCGTGTATTGGAATATCGCCGATTTATAATCCATAGTATCTATATATCGTTATCATTATCGTGGTTGTGATGTTAAGGTGCCAATCATTTTAACAATATTTTCTATCATCTTCCCATTTTTTGATTACGAAATAGATCACGTGACTAGCCTATAACAGTTCCAAAACCGTTCGAATTTGTTATGTTGGCTAATTATTAGTGATTAATGTACCATCAATAACTTTGAATATAAATAGCCATTATTATATCTTTACCCTGTCTGTTGCCTTGACGTGGTGGTGAAGCTTGTGTGCCTCGATGATTCTGCGAGCTATACCGGCTGGGACTGAGATCCCTAGTAGGTTTAAACATGCCGGAATGGTCAAAGAGTAGAGGACTGACTTAAGTAAGTAAGTAAAGTTATTACGCACGCTATAACTCAGTTATCTTATATTATTAGATAACTAGCTAATAAGCATCAGTGTATATATGTAAATTAAAAATGTATTACTTTTATTACTAATACGCATATCATATAACCATTATCATAACTAGCTTCCACCGCAAACATCTCTCTTCCTGTATTTTTCTCTGTATTTTTCTTCATGTGGGTGTTTTGACAGGTTAATTTTATAATCATATAAAAACTAGGAATAGGAAAACACAGAAGACATATGAGACAACTGCGTTAGGGGCTAGGCCATGAATATACCTGCTTATTATAAGTAGCATGACTTCAAATAGGTGTATATAACTTTTTTATGTTTTTTTCCCATTCTATGTTTGTGGGTCTCTAAAGGTCAGAAAAGTCTGCATGTAGAGGAATTCTTGTAGCCGGTAGTAATAAAGCTAATTTGCAAATGGCCTATGAAAGTATATGTAAAATTGTATAATCTCCAACAGGCATCAGGCAGATCGATACCTAACAGATCTAGAATTGGGCGCGATACTTTCTGATCATTATTCACTTAAATTAAGAATATGCCCCACCCTATTCTTTTTTGGTTTGTGTTCTTTCTTGCCAATAAATAAGGTAGATAATAAAATACATTAAAAAAAGAATGTACAAGCGCTTAAATACTTACAGTAATGATTCTTCTACTAGTCTTGGAGGATTATAAACCTAAATTGAAATTCTTGTTGTGTAACATTGTCTGCACATTTTCTGCTCAATTACCGAATAAACTTACGAGTTATAAAGTTAATCAGTTAAGCATTGAGAACAAAAATACCATCAGAGATTATTCCTAGAAGCACGGTTTACTTTGTGAGTCCAGAACTCTGGGAATGACTGGATTCAAATCCCAGACCAAGGGCACTGGGACACCGAAAGTGGTTGGACTTCTATAGGTTTTTTTCCTATCGATTATTTGAATTAAATTAACGTTATACTAGAGCTCTATATGGAACTTAAGGTGAATTTGATTAACCATATTAACTCTGGAAGGTTGAATATTATTGATGTAAGGTACATCGCGCAGTCGCGTTATTGTTGGTATAGTACAAACAGAGTCAAGTACTGAACGGCCGTTAAAGAAGTAACGCTCATCGGCTATTCAAACTGTTTGACCTTTGGAAGAAAAAGGCTGCATTATAACAGCGAAGGAACACGGACACAAGATAAGTAAGCAAGTATAAAATTAATTTAATTCAAACAATCAAAAGGGAAAAAAAAAACAACCACATTCGGTGTCCTAGTGCCCTTGCCCAGACATCTATAGGGCTTCAAGCGCGAGTTAGCTAACGGTTTACTGAATATCTGAAATCCGTGCGCAGGCCATCATTTTACTGATAAAGTCTATTGGTAAATGTTCAACACGTCGATTTATCATTAATTAAAATTAGAGACAAAGCAAATATTTATGATATCATTTAAGCAAATATATGTCTATTTGATTATTTAATGTAATTTTCTTTGAACGTCTTATAAGAATGAGGTGGTTGGGACAATGAGGTTTAAATGATTTACTAATGTCATGACAACAACAATATTTTGTTATAAGAAGAAACATGAAATAACTTTGAAAATAGTCAATCTATTCGTTCTCATACCCAGACCCTACTTATTAGCAAAAGTGGGCTCTGGAAAACCTTGCGATTTGCGACCAGGTCACGCAACTTACCGTATGTAAAGCTAGCCACATAATTAACCGCTAACACCTTACTCTGGCCAAATATACCAACATTAAATAACAAATAAACTTCGTAATGCGTCCGAGCCAATTAGGCAACTTGAAATTTTAGAGTCTCGGAGCCGACGATTTATGATTAGCGCCTAAGTACGAGAATGTCAATCAATTTGCTCTCAAAAGGACGTAATGCTAGTGGACTGATATATAAGTATCGATATGAGCAACACAAAGAATGAGATAGGATATGATCGTGAATGCAATGATGTAATCCCCTCTGAGTTGTTGAGTTGAATTTGTCTTCCCGGCTGGAAAGGAATTTAATAAATGTTACTACTGTTTTCATTGCAACGTCCTAATCGAGATAAAGTTAAAACGTTTTCTAAATCTCACCAGCTGTACAGATTATGAGTTTACATAAAGTTTAACTTACCTAAAATTAATGGCGTCCCTGTTTCATTTATGGTTTTATTCTCTGGTTGTAAACCTATTGAAAATAACAATCATACATGACGTCATGGTCAGTAGACTCCTAAACAATGCATTCGCCAGAATGAACTTAAACTATCCCTAATAGAACTTCATCAGCTACATGGGACCTGCATTAGATTAAATCAATAGAAGAGGGAAAATTTTTTTTGTCACTTTTATACCCTAAGAGAKATATAAATGTCAGTATAGGGGTTTTTTCTATTACAGACCAGTACCAAAATCCAAATATTATAGGGGATCTATTATAAAATTACCTATATACTAGCAATAGGCCTAAATTTCTCAGTGTTCAAATTGCAAAACAAAAAATTCATTGGGGAATTAAGGAGAGGGCCCACGTGCCCTTCCCACTGCTACGGGCCTGTATTATTTTGCCAGTATCGACTATTCAATGTGTTATACATACGGAATTTTTCATTAAACACTACTTGAACCACTCACTAAATAGAACCTTTTCGAATATGTTCGAAATGCAATAGCGAGACATCTCTGGATTGGGTGGCATAGAAACGACCAAGCTCTAACAAAAATATGAATAGTCTTCAAATGTGTTCCTGTCTGCAAAAGTAACTTTATATATATATATATATATATATATATATATATGGCACCGCGGAGTAAGCCATAATAATTTAATAGAAGAGAAAGAAAGCCTTTGAAATAGGGGAAAAGGAGGACAATCAGTCAAGAGGTTGTCTCTGCATGATGTCACGTAGTGACTTCCATCTCTTATGGCCCATAGATTATTATCATTATAACTGGATTTTTCTCTGGGTTTTCCGATATACCTCCCTACCTCACTAGGCATAAATCAACTTTTAAATTCTAAATGGAATTCAGTGGATGAAAGAGGCACCATTTTACTCCCTTTTTCGTCCCTACGCCAAAATCAACTTCTAAGCTCTAAATGGAATTCAGTGGATAAAGAGTCACTGCACCCTGTGGAATTGTCACTGTTAAATCCTATTCCATTATGAAAATTTGAAACAATAAATGATCAATGCAATATAATACAATATCAACCTTGTGTCACATTTTGCCTTTTCTCAGTGATTGGAATTCGATCTGACTCCTTTGTAACTTCTGATTTTGTTTTAACCTCCAGTCTCACAGTGTATTTACCAACTCCAGTTCCATCCCGAATAACAGCAAAGTACTCCCTGGTATCTTTAAGTGTAACATTTCTCAGGGTAAACCATGCATGTCCCATTGTAAGGTTACCAACAAAGTATACTCGATTCTTATATCTAGGGTGCATGTTGGAGTTATAGTTCACTTTTTGAATGTAAGTGTTGATATTGACCAATTGCGAGTCATGTTCAGTATTTTTACTCCGCTTTAGTCCAAACATTGCAGAATATATCTTTCCTTTGTCATTTGTTGACCACCATAATTGGGCATCTTGTCCAAAATTGCAAGTCAAGGGGTTTCTCGGTCCTATTATTTCGCACTTAACTGTACAAATAAATGAATAAAAAAAGAAGGAAAAAACAAGTAAAGAAAAATGCAATATCCATCTTTTTTTTTTTTTTTTTTT